GGTATTAAATCAAAAGGCAAGCTGAGAGGAGGAGTACACGGAGCAGAGGTGTTTCCAGCGCTGCACAAAATCTTCTCAGAATAGTTAGTGCAATGTCTACACTACAGATACTGGTATGCCTATCCACTTCTATCGAAAAAAAACCAGTAACAACCCACTAAAACATCGAAGAAAATCATGCCACAAGACATTATCATAGCAAACTAATATATTTTCAAACTTTGCGACAACTAGCTATATCTGTAAAAAATGCATGTCCCACACCGCGATGTTAAACCTCATACGTGGGGTTTAATGGAGTGTAACTAAGTCAGGGCATTTGAACACAGGTGTCTCTTCTAGCAAAGGTAAATAAAAACAGACGGCTTTGCAGGCACAGATGGTCAGAGACTGGGTCTGCACTCTCTCTCTTCTCATGTTTGAAAATCTGATCCTGAAAGCCTGATTGTGGAGGCTGAAGTCAATGTCACCAGTCTGCAAGTTGTTTCTGTAAAGCCACTGATGCAAAATTAGGGAAAAGCTAGAGTTACAAAGCTCTTCTTCAGACCAAGTGTCATAGAAAGAATTCACTTTGTAGAGGATGCTCAGAGTTATCTGGAAAGCTGCTCTGAACTACTTTATTGCCAGACATTTTGGTATGCCATTACTCCAGGGACCGACTTTCCGCATGAGCTGGTGGAGCCCAAGGCTGCCCATGCCTTCCAGATGACCCCAGGCACACTTCCTCTGACAGGAGACCTAACAAATTGGACCTGCAAATGGCACTGTAATCCCAGCCAGAATTAAAACCGAGCTTTCCCAAACTCAGCTTCCTAGTTCAGGCAGAAGGATCAGGCAGCCCTTACGGCTTCTAGACCTGAGCGTGCTCAGGTCCAGCCCAGCTTCATCTGCTCCTCCCATGCTTTGCCCCTAGGGCAGCCAAATTACTCCCTGTCCATTCCACCCTGGTTTGTTAATATTTTCCATGTAGTTGGTACTAGCCAGATGACTGCCTGCATTGTAAGGCATCAGCTATAATGCCTTGAATCTTTATACAGCAGTAAGATGAGTTGTTTGAAAGCCTTTATACAATTGTAAGCAGATAGTTTAGACGTTTTGATGAGAAGAGAAGGTTTTATTGTGGTGTGACTGACAGTCTCCGTGAAGGGTATTTACAGTCTGACTCATTACTAAAAACACCATGACAGGTAGAACTTGATGTGGATGTATAACTGGGAGACAATCAGAAATTATGACAAAAAGAGCTCATTAAACATTTCACTTTTTTAGAAGAGTTAATTTCACATACGGAACCACGATTTCTAAGTGGAGCGTGTACCGCTTAACACAAGCTCTTTGGGGTAAGCTTGCTTTCTTTGTCTGGCCTGATGTCTGTTCTCAGTGAACGGAGAATAGGAGACTTGGTCTAAGGAAGGAGCAGAGAGAAAATAGCAACGAATACAAGAACTGTGAGTTGATACAGAGGAAGGGAAAGATACTGGGAGGATACTGGATATCATAAAGAGTGTGTGTTTGGAACTGAGCTGCACGCCCGGCAGGAAATCTACAGGAGAGTAGGATTTGCTGGGAAGGGATGCAGCAAAGAGATAGGGAAATACAAGGATTATATTGAGTAAGCAATCTTTTCATCCCAATGTCAGAGAAGTGGCTTGGCAACCAGCCACCACTCATAATTGAGTTCAGTGGGTACGTTCAAATTCTGAGATCCAAGACTCATTCCTTTCCGCCTCATTTGCACTGTATTTACATTACTTAATATCAGAGATCATGAGGAGTCACACTATAAAGTACTTTGACACCTTCTGACAAATGGCCTCACACAACGGCACAGTATTGTGTAAGTACAGCGGCTGTATCAATGCATATACAATGTTGAATACTTCTGCTTCACAGCACTACCAGGAAGATGCTTCATACCTTCAGCCCCAATGGGATCCCATATGCACAGAGAAAGCAATATTTGCCCAAACAGTCCTGGTTTCTTAAGAACCTATATCTTACTGAAAACCGGTATGAATTACACTTCCCAGTTTCAAAGTAACCTTTGGAAAATGGATTCTGGCTGTTAGTTTTTACACTGTGGTAGATCTCATCCCACCTAAGCCTAACTATTTAGAAGTTATCATACCTGCAAGTCATTTAAAGTTCCTCTGCAGCCACGAAAGAACAATGTCCAGATGTACATTTATTTCCACCTGAGAGGGACACCTCACACAGACAGGAGGACTTTCCCCGTGAAGTGGCTATTTCTCTCCACTGGCTACAGAGAACCAAGGGTGGAGGGCACCTAGATGACTACTTCAGTATCCCTCACCTTTATGTGTGGAGAGTAGAGATAACTTGCCTGAGAACATACCAGAGGAGAACAATCCCAAGATGGAAAATCAATCTCTGTCCAGGGAATGTGAGCAATTCCATTTGAACTCAAGCACAACTTGCTGCATTTTTATTAAATGTTGTATTTATTGTCGGGAGAGAGAATTCATGATGCCTGAAACCTATTAGGAGCTACAAAAAGTTTCTCACTTTATTCATCCATTACGAAATTAATGAAAGCAAGATCTCCTAATAAAGAAAGTGTCCTTATATGTTTAAACCAGGTAGAAGAGCTAGATTATTTGCCCTCAGATTGAATTTTAGAGGTTTATATAATAATGACAGCTATAAATTGAAAAAAAAATTATGGCAAGTGTCTCAATGACACAGAGTCTCAGACGTGGAAAGGTGAGCAATAAATCAGATGGGCAGTGGAATATTAAATTGCTAATTTTAAGAGCTATTGCTGCTTTTCTTTTTTTTTTTTTAATACATACTAATAAAAAGGTGAAACAAAAATCTCAGCTATATATTTCTTCCTCTTCTCTTCTCTTTTTCTTCATAAATTAAAGTACATAACTTATTTGGAGAAAAAGCTCTAATAACTTTAAATTTAACCATGGAATAGCAAAAAAAAAAAAATTAAGTCTGCAACCAGCTTCACGGAGATGATAGATTAAATACATTTGACGATTACAGAGTAGGTTTCATATGCCCTATATCACACAGTCATGTTCTTTACCAGGACAGTCTAATACCAATGTGTCTGCAGACATGATTGTAAGTGTACTGTACACCCAGTCATACTGCAACGACCTAAATTACCGGCTATACCCAGAGTAAATTTGAAACATCGCTGAAGGAATAATAAAAAAGTCACAGGAAATGTACAGTGGAAAAATTGTAACACTGAACTATATGAGAAATGAGTGAAAAATCTACAGCTATTCCGTGCCCACAAATACCTTAATTAGTTATGCAACATGAGTTATTTTACTAGATTTTCCCAGGCAACACGATGATGCCTCCCTCCTCCGAGTGGCTTATCATGAAATATTTATGGCAAGTTTTGTTTGTTTGAGCAAACCACAGAAATGTCACAACTCAGGCCCCCATCCAGCCCCTCCCCAGCATTTATATTTTTTATTCCAGATCTCAGTCTCCGTGCTTAGCCCAAGCTGTGCAAGTTACTACATCCTCATGTAAAAGGAGTCTCTCTCTTGAATACAGGCATTTTTCCCATGCTTACAGTAGACTGAAATTCCTGACCTTTTCCTTTGTTTTTCTCCATTCTCACACAAATCCTCAGAAATACTAATTTTCTGGGTAACCAACACAATCGAACAATTTCTCGAGTATTTATAGAACAAATTTATATTAAACAGTACAACCCGCCCTTCAGCAAATGCATGCCTTGTTGCTAAAGCATCTGTCACTCCACTTCTTCTCTAAAACACTTATTACCATTCCTCATATGTTCTGGGGATAAATGCTTCACCTCTTCAAAATGCTAATACACAGAAAGGGAGTGGTGCCATTTGGATACAACAGCATATTACCCCTATTTTTCAATAGTCTACTGTCCATGCAAGGCACAGGATAGAAAGAATTAAGTTGACAGTCTATATTGACCCTTAGCCTCTTGTATACTTAGAGCACTACAGAAATAATACATAACAATATTGGGAGGAAATCTCCTTTTGCTGATTACAGCCCACAATAACCAGGAAAGCAATGCAATACATAGAGAAAAAATTCTGCCACTCAGGAATTTGCTGAGTGAGGTCTTTTCGCATACTTAATCTTGATGTAGTTCCTTTCAGGTTTTCCCACAGCTGTTTAAACTAATGGCAATTGCACGTACCTCTGGCCTACAACTCTACAGCTCTTACTAAGCTACCATAGAAGTTGGTTTTATTGGTAAAATAATTGCTTTTCTATGGTGTATGTTAGCTTGGATTTTGATGTAACTTGTTTGGTTGGGTTTTTTTTTCCAAATGACAGAAAAGTAATTCTAATGCAAATTCCCATTTTTTTCATAACATTTGATTTGAAGCTCCTTATGAAATCTTTACCTATCAGCACACTGTATTCACCAGGAAGTCTTCTGAGAGGTGTAGACATTATAGCTGCAGAAAATCACCGTAGAGGTCACACACAATGTTCTGACATACCTTTTCCTAACGCTACTTCTCTCGACCTCAACTCTATTCGGACCTTGCTTCCCTGCTGTCCTACTAAACCAAGCTGTAAGGAGCACAACATATAAAGTACAGCTCTGATAGAGCACACAGAGGAGAAAAAGCAGCCCATGCTCACTCAGAGCGATAAGCCCTGTACAGCATTGCGTAATAGAGGAACCCTTCTAATCCAGACAGCAACGATTATTTCATTAACATGCAGAAGGCTCATTGTCAACTCTTAAACATGGATAACACATTTATAAATGGTGACTTTCATAAGAATGAGTCAGAAGAGACAGAAAGGAGATTTATGTAATGAATGAGATGGATGTAAGTGACATTACAATCCTGGTTACTCTGAACCAACCCAATCAACCCACAACAGATCACTGATAAAATTCCCATCACGAGGAATGTACCAAATGTTACATACAATAATGAAAGTCACAGAAGCTAAGAAACACATCTTCTTTACTGCATATAAATAGGGAAGATACTTACACTTACAGGTTGACTTTTTGGCACATCATAAACACCTTCCTTCTTTTGGCTGGTAGGAACCTGCAATAGCAAATGAAAACTAAGGTCATTACCCAAGCAAGTTTGACAAAAAACTGAAATCTTCAACTCATATTTAAGTACAGGGTAATCATTTAATACTAATGAAATCAAGGGTGGCTCCCTTTTCATTCAGCCAGTAACATTAATGGAAACAATACTGAAGAAATAAAACATCTATTTGAATTTTTTAAATCCTAAAGCCCAGTAGTGTTCAGAAATGAGATTTTCATTCTCAGTTAGGTTCGGTTGCATTATGTTCAGGTGCACTTGGATCTCCTTCCTACTTAATTAGTTGTTTTTTCATTTTACTTGGGGGTAAGAAGATGCACATGGAAGTCATGATCAAGTCAGTATGTCATCTTCCTCCATGGCAAAGAGCCAGACTAGAGCTACCGATCTGAGGGAAAGGGAGGTTTGCACTATGGAGTTGGATTCTTTCCTTAAGATT